CAACACTGAGAAGAAAGAATGTAGTAGGAAAAGAGAAGATGATGAGGGAGCAAGGAGCATGGTAGATGCAATTTTTGTGAAGCCCAACAGAAAGAGGAGAACTAAGCTTGTCACCTCCTCTGTTATCTGCCAGTGCACCTGGAAAATGAATTGTGCCTTCTTTGTTAACTTGTACCAGGAAAAAAGATGTTTTGTATATTTGTAAAAAAAATGAGAAAGAGCCTGGCTGGTGTGGCTCAATGGATTGAGCATCATCCCATGTACCAAGAGGGTTGCAGGTTCAATCCCCAGTAGGGAGCATGTAAGAGGCAGCTGATCTATGTGTCTCTCTCATCGATGTTTCTATCTCTCTCTCCCTCTCCCTTCCTCTCTGAAGTCAATAAAAAATGATATTTTTTAAAAATGAGAAAGAGCCTAGATTCTCAGCATGAATAGTGGTGGGATAGAGTGGTCTTCAGTACTGCTGGTCATCAATTCATAGTTATACTTCCTTAGCAAGGTCTTTCATTTCACTAAATCCTAGTTTTCCAATATAGAAAATATAAATCATATTGTTTGTTAAGTGACAGGGAGATTTTCACAATTTATAACCTAATGACCAAAAAGCATGCACCCAAAGAGTATTTCTTGGGTAAGGAATAAACATTGCAGTTGAAGTGATTAGATGTGTCTAATTTGATTTAAAAATAATAAAATCATTAATTTCTAACACAGGACAGTTTTACCAAGGGCTTTTTAATATTCTCTCCAGAAATTATTGTGTTAAGTTCCTTTCAATCTGGTAGATTTAAAAGATGCCAAAGCCCAGGTATTTTAACTAGAACACAGTTGTTATTTTTGTGTTTGACCAAAACATATCACCATCAAAATTGTGAGGTGTCATAGAAATCACATGAAAAGCTAAATGAACAGTTCTTTTCTTGATATGTTTAAAAACAGAACTCATTTTCTGTAATTTAATTTATTTTAGTCACTATAGGATTTCTTTTTGGCCATGGGCCTCAGACATTGTACTGGTTAGTTAGCCTTGCTGGTTTCACCATGTTGCAATGATTAGCAGCCATGATGGTCATTCAGCCCTTTTCTTTACCTTGGGCCTATAGAAAGGCTCCAGCCTTTCTTCTTAAGCCTTTGTCCTTGGTCCCCAGCCTCCTAAGATATGACGTTAGTTATCATCTATATAACAATACTCCCTTCATGTTGTGCATTATGAAATCCTTTTAGACTTCATTCCCAGATTGAATAGTTCAGGTCTGCCATAGACCACCCCCTACCCCCATTCCCATCCCCATCTACTCTACAGATGGCAAACTGATGAGTGGGATTCTCATACACATTAGCTTTTATACTCCATATGAAACCCCATATTTTTGTTACATTTTATTAAGAAGTTGAAAATTTCATTGAATGGTTTTTATTTGAAGTGTCAGATAGGTGAACCAGTTTCCAACCATTTAATCTAAGACTTGGTTCTATCAAGAGTTTAGAGAATTTATTGGAGGATGGATAGGAAAGTAGCAAATGCTGATCTCTTCAAAAGCACACTTTGAGATTTCCTTCCAAAATACTAGTACTCACAAGAAACCCACTTGAAGACATGATATGCATACCAGCCAAACCCCTAATGCCCTGTCAGACATAACTGATTAGCATCCACCTTTCTTGAGGCATGTGATCTGTTACCAAAAACAGGGAGTGGCTGCCCTACAGTGTTACCAGAGCTATACTAAGGGGCACTGGACATCCTGGTACTTAGAAAAGGTACAGTGCTATAGCAGGGACAGAGAGTTCCTTGAAATGCTGGAACCTGAGCTTACCTTTAAGATCTTCAGGAAGTAGTTAGAAAGGAAAGGAGATCAAAATTTCCAACAGACTTGAGTCATGTAAGCTTAGTTAAGGAGCCACAAATAAGCTTGCTGGCTAAACACACAGGGCAGTTGTTGGAGACTGCAGAAGCTGGAAACACGAGTGACCCATCAGAATGAGAGGCATCAGGGGGGAGGCATTATGTGTTTGGCTCTAGATAAGCTACTTAACTTTTTGAACTTTGGGGACATGGTTTGTAATACAAAGGCAAGCCAGTGCCCACCCCAAATGGTAACTATTGAGTTCAAATGAGATAACTGAGTAAAATTCTTTGTAAAGGTGAGGTTATAAGTGTTGATGGATGATTATGGTGGTGAAGTGGTGATAGGTAATTATAGAACTAGAACCCCCATCTCTGGGGATGAGGAAAATAAAAATTACAAGTCCACGTCAACTCCCAGCTAACTGGGTTTCCCATTTGATCAGTTCTATCTGGTGAGTTTAGAAAAAGCCACATGGCTTGACCCACATGGATCCCTGGAAAGTCTCTTCAGGCACCGAGGCATATCCGACTGTCAAAGCAACAGTTCTGACTCCCAATGTCATACTTGAGATTGTATTCCATGTCACAAATATTTAAGCAAGGGTGTGAGGGCAAGTTGCCAAGTAGCACAATACAAAACAAATGTCTCATTGTGTTTGTTGCCGCACAGTATGTGGTTTTGTGAGATTCCAAAAACCATCCTATGACGTTAATTTGTAACCACAGTGATTCCGTGTGTGTGTGTGTGTGTGTGTGTGTGTGTGTGACATGCTCTAAAATCCTGAGAAAGGGCTGCAAAAGAAATGTTCAGAAATGTTATAAATGGGTTTAGAAAACTTGTGAACCCTATCTGAACTTTTATTAGATTCTCCCACACTCACCCGTTTGACATCAGTACAAGGAAAGCATTATTTATAACAGCATGTGTGAAATCCCAGAAGGGATTCTTGAAAGAATTAAAGTGAAAAATCTGTCCAAGCATAAAATAAATGATCAGATGGGAAAACATGTAAATCAAAATTTAAAACCTTGTTTTTTCTCCTTTAAAGGAAACAGGAGCTTTTTATTTGGCCATTAGCAATACAGGACCGAAAACCTGATAGAGTAGGTGCTGGAGTCCCAAGAGCCCCAAAGCACTTGTCATTGGGTGAGGAGTATGGGAGGATGTATGTGTTGACTCTCCTTAATGTCTCAAGAATGGCTGCTTCCCATTTTAAGGAAATCAGACAGTAAAATTACAGAGAAGGAAGAAACACCTTGAAAGTATTTAGTGCATTGAAATTTATATTGTCTGCTTAGGTATTAACCTCACGATAACCCTAGAAGTTATTCATTGTTACCCACATTTTATATTTGGAGAAATCAGGGCACAGAGAGGTTTGGCAACTAGTCAAGGTTACCTAACTAGGAAATGGCACACTGGAGTGTGCCCTGTACCCCAGCATTTCTAATGTCATGATTTCAGTGTTGTCCACTGCATTGCAGCTGGGGATCCACAAGGAATATGGTAAGTATGGTATCTTGCTAGATTAATGGACCCCAGTGTTTTTCAGCTGTCTGGTTCTAGGAGATATATGTAAATGGTTCTCTATCTCTCTACTTCTTCCCTGCGAACACACCTTCAAACTAGTTAACCACCAGCATCCTTTCTGGTCAGTCAGTGCCTGTGTCATACAGGTTGTGTTTTGACTATCAATCCTGATGGTGAGCAATGCATGTCCAGGCAGTTTCATGAGGGAAATCTGTGCTCATTGAACAGTGACTACCTATCACTGCAGGGGTAAGAAGCAAGTGAGAAAATCAAAAGTTGAGGAGGGCAACCAGCCTTTACTGAGTGTAGGAGTTTTTGGTGTATTCAAAGCTGAATAGTAAGGATATGGGAACACCCTAACCCAGAATCAGCAAGTTAAATTCCTACTTGTTGGATTTGGAGTCATTGCACACACAAAAAACAACAACAATAACACCCTCCTCCTTTCACATTTGTGCTTTCTTTGGTGCCAAGAGCACTATTTGAAATCACCAAGCAAATTAGACATCTCTGGCCCTCTCAGCTCCTTGGGCTCTGGAGTTGAGCAGCATTTTTCAGGCACTGTTAGTCCATTTCCTTCCTTTAATGAGTCAGAAATGGATATTGAGAATGATAATTGGGCAGAAACTCTATGTGGCATTAGTCTTAGAACCCAGGGGCTGAGAGTTGTCAGTGAGGTCTGATTCAGCTGTCTGTAAGCCCACTTGCTGCCCCAGGGTCAGGCATAGCATTTGGGCTGGTTATGCTGGGGTTTACCAGCATGAAAAGTAGGACCTACCACCCATAGGGCCACTGTCTAGAAATCTTATGATAGCTTTAAAATGAGACAGCCCTAATGGGCTACAAATATGAAAATGGAATACTTCACTTTTCTCCAGGAAGTAGGAAATCATGAATGAGTCTCCTTTGTCAGACAATGTTCTCTTTGCCTGTGCTAATGCTTTTGCCATCTAATGCCTCACCCTCCATGTTTTTACTAAAAATGAGCTTTTCAAAACCATAGTTACTTATTTATTTTTGTAAATAAGCTCAGTTGCAGTGCCTTGTCATAGAGAAAAGTCCTGATCTTGGAGTCCAAATACCTGACTTCTTTGTGTCTATCACAACCTGAATCTCAGTTGCCTCATCTGTAAAATGGGAATAATTTCTGCCTTGTTCATTGCTGGGTTGTGGGGAAGTTGTTTAAGGAAGCACTGTGCACTGTCCTAACATCTTAGATTGGAAGGAATCTCTGGCCTTGCTAAGGAAGTAGAGTTACTTGGTGGGTCATTTTTGAATGAAGAGCTCCATACTTGTTATCCTCATCAAAGTTATCTTGTTGATTAGAAGGTTGAGTCATCCTCAAACCAGGATATACATGTGTGTGTGTTTATCCAAATGAACACCCAACTGTCATCTCTGCTCCTAGTTAGTTCTGAGAGACAATTGCAAATAATATGAAAAAATTTTGTTGACCATTCTTTGCCCTCTGACTCTGGTGATTGGGATTATAAAGAAATCTTATTTTCCTTATGTGTTTATAATCAATTAAAATCAATACATTCAAGCACCTTTTCCTCTGATAATGGAAATGTTGTGTGGAGATGACTCATGCCTCCTTGTTCACCCCTTTCCCCCCAGGTTGGTGGCCATACGATGCTGCCCATCCGCTGGATGCCTCCAGAGAGCATCATGTACAGGAAGTTCACCACAGAAAGTGACGTCTGGAGCCTGGGGGTGGTGTTGTGGGAGATCTTCACGTATGGCAAACAGCCCTGGTACCAGCTGTCCAACAACGAGGTGTGCAGTGGGCTGGGTGAGACCCTCCGGAGGGGCTAACACTGAGAGGCGCAACCTTGACCAAAAGTTAGGACACAGGACAAGGCCTTATGTGGCTTTGTTGGGTGCAGCACCTCCCAAATGGCTTGCTGTATGGCTGAAGATCATGGCTGAAGTATAGTCACTCTGGAAACATAAGAAAATCACAGTGTTTACTGACATACTTGGCATCCACTGTGACGAAAAATCGCTATGTGCTGCTCACCTAGCAAATTAATAGCAGATGTGACATTCCAGCACCCTGAGAGTCCAGTTAGCTTTTGTATATTATTCCAGGAAGGTTTCAAGGTTCTTTCCTTTTTGCACATTTCACTAGACTATGCACTTCTAGTGAAAACTCAAGCATTCTGTTTCCCTATTCTAATCCTTTTGCAAATATGCCTATATTTGAGGCATAGCTTTTTGGTTAGGCTCCTAACATCTTCAGGCTCAAGTCTGTCTTTTACCCAAATTTGTTATCCAAAATGACCACTCATTTCTACAGCCTGGGGATCTCTCATCAGTCAGCACCCTGACATGAAAGTGGCCTAGGTTCCATATCAGGCCAGTAAAACTGGAATTCTAGGATGAGGTTTGGGATCATTCCATACAGATAAATCATTTCTCCACCAGTTTGGTGAAATCGATGTGCTTGAAAAATGGATGTGATCCAATTAAACACAATATACTAATCTATAATAATTGCTCTCTTCTTTCTGAAAAGAAGTAACATTGAATGGGTTCCTTTAAAGCAGCCCTCTCTTTGCACTGCCATTTATTTCACCTGTATTATTTCCCCTATACTGTTTCTCTTCTGATCCTATCTTTGCTCTCTGTCCAGGTGATAGAATGCATCACTCAGGGCAGAGTCTTGCAGAGACCTCGAACATGCCCACAGGAGGTCTACGAGTTGATGCTGGGGTGCTGGCAGCGAGAACCCCACATGAGGAAGAACATCAAGGGCATCCACACCCTCCTTCAGAACTTGGCCAAGGCATCTCCTGTCTATCTGGATATTCTAGGCTAGGGCTCTTTCCCCCAGACCGATCCTTCCCAAAGCACCTCCTCAGATGGGCTGAGAGGATGAACGTCTTTTCACTGCTGCTGGATGCCATCAATCTGCTGTTCTCTACTCTGACGGTATTAACAACAAAGACACTACAAAGCTTTCAGAGGGAAGCAATGTGTACTTCTCCATCGGTAGACACAGTATGGACTTCTTTTTGGCATTATCTCTTTCTCTCTTTCCATCTCCCTTGGTTTGTTCCCTAGTTTTTGTTTTGTATTGACTTTTTTTGTCTTCCCTGCTTCACAGTCCTACCTTTCTTTTCTAATCGATCTGGCTTCTGCATTACTCTTAACTCTGCATAGACAAAGGCCTTAACAAACCTAATTTGTTATATCAGCAGACACTCCAGTTTGCCCACCACAACTAACAATGCCTTGTTGTATTCCTGCCTTTGATGTGGATGAAAAAAAGGGAAAACAAATTTTGACTTAAACTTTGTCATTTCTGCTGTACAGACATCGAGAGTTTCTATGGATTCACTTCTATTTATTTATTATTATTACATTTCTTATTGTTTTTGGATGGCTTAAGCCCGTGTGTGAAAAAGGAAAACTTGTGTTCAATCTGGAAAGCCCTTTTAGTATGGGAGACTGAAACCAGAGAGAGAGAAGATTTTATTATGAACCGCAATATGGAAGGAACAAAGACAACCATTGGGATCCGTCCCTACTTAGGAAAAACCGAGCGGCTGTTAGCTGGGAGGAATGTATTCGGCACCTTCCTTTGAGGACCTTTCTGAGGAGTGAAAAGACTGTTGAACTCTGTGACATGGACTACCCATTCCCGTCAGCGGAAACTCTAGAGTGTAGTAGAGAGAAAAGATGGCTCCGTGAGAGAGAAGATGGTGCCTCCCACACTCAGACATCCTTGTCTTTGTAGGTCACAGTAATAGCACGGGCTTGTTTCTCCAAATGTTATCAAATGACCCTTTGTCAAGTTCTGAAAATAGGTGGACTCTTGTCCAGAGCTCATTTCAGGATGGGGTAGAAAAGCCAAGGACTTGGAAAAGATAAGAAGAGCTCTACATTCGGAGGCAAGCTTCTCTTATATCAAACTTTTCAGACAGCACTTCCCTCCAACCCCTACCCGCCACCTGCCTGTCCTTTTAACTGTGCAAGCAAAATTGTGCATGGTCTTCGTCGATTACTACCTTGTATGCAGAAACTACTGCTCCAGACGTCGTGCCCCTGCCATGTAGAGCAGATTCATAAAAGGTGTAACTTACATAATGAGGGGAAGCTAATGGAACTCATTAGCTGGGTATACATGTCTCTGGGCCGTAGGGTGGTGATGGGTTTCAACAAATACGGACCCTGAAACCCGGATGTCCTCATGCACGTCAAACCCACTGTGAGACTGTGGGACTGTGGGAAGGGCTAAGTCAGTCCCCGAGAGAAAGGACACCTCATCTCCGGGCACGTTGTATGCATTGGTGTTCAGTGTATGCAGGCCAGTCCTCGCTGGGGCTCCGGTTGGGAGAGTGGTTTCATTCCAAGTGTACTCCACTGTCAGTATGCTGTTTTGTTTCCTTCACTCCATTTAAAGAAGTAAAATAAAAAATTAGGCACAGCATGCCAACGGGAGGTTATGCCCAGACCAAGCTTTGGAGGTGTGCCTCTGGGCACCATCACAGGTTTTGTGAAATGAGGTTGTAAATTTAAATAGAAATTTACAGTTATTTGGGTGATCAGTTACACCAAGGAAGAACAATATTTCTGTTCCTCAAGAAAACTTGATACCCTCTGTGAGGGGAATTTTGCTAACTTGACATCTTTATAACACGAGCCAGATTGAAAGGGAGTGATTTTAATTCATCTTAAGTCATTTTATTTCATATTTGTTTCTGAAGGTGCAATTGCTCTGTTTAGGTTTTGCTTGTGCCCTTAATTACTGGAACACCCTTATTTTTCATTATAGGGTTTGAAAAAGCCAGTCTAAAAAAAAAAAAAAAAGTCAATTCACAGAGAACAAAAGGAAATCCATTAGCATCTGCAGTCAAGTGAAGGGGGTCGGACAAGACAAACCTTACAGTCTCTTCAAGCTCTGCGCTGGCCTATAGATCGTGGAGTTGAGATGTTTTTTCTCTTTGTCAGTGAAAAAAACCCACCAGAATACACATAATAATATAATGAAAGCCATATCTCCATGATATATACCTGTACGTATATATCCTATTAAGGACCCATGGTACTGTTAAAACACTGTGGCACTCTGTGAAGCAGTAAAAAGGGGCAGATTTGTACAAAACTTTTCTAGATTCCATCAGCGGTGACCTGAAAACCTGCACAGGTTTGCCATTCTGCGGGATTGGCCAGCTGCTCTGGGAGGAGAAGCTGCAACTTATTTGTCTTATTTTAATGGAGAGCAAAGAGGCAATGCTCTAAAGGATCAAATTCAAGGAAGGCTGTGCAGTTTTAGAGCAAGGATTTGTTTAAGGCACATGAGAAGATGGGAGCATCCCATTCCATTCCAGTGTTGTTTTCCTCTGAGGAATAAAAGCAAAAAAAGCAAAAACAAATACACACCTCTCCTTACCTTTTGACAAGTCCCTCAAGGTCTTGAAATGAAAGGTTCTATGCAAGTGCAAAGCTCTGTAGTTATTTATATGCTTCTTGTTTTTCCCTCTGTTGTCTCAAGAGTATGTACTGATTTCAGCAATGTCTTGCATTGAAAGAATACCAGATTGCTTTAAAAGTAGCTGAATGAAGCACCGAATATCTTCAGGTGTTCCACACTGGTCCTCCACAATCCCCTCTTCTCATGCTCTTCTCACTTTTAGAAAAGGAGCAATCTCACTCTAAAACCTAGCCTGCCATCAAATTCATTAAAAGCCGCAACAAGAATAGTGTCAGACCTAATTCTCTAGCCCAAACTCTGACAGTCATTCCCACTAATAAATTGTTTCCTAGTTTTCTAAACGGTTTTCACATATGTTAGCAAATGAGTCCCATTTTTTTTTATAGGTGAGGAAATTAAGACTCGGGGAAGTTCAATGGCATGCTAGAAATCTGCAGGCTAGATTCTGACACCACTGGGACTGAGTCTAAATGTTCTGACTCTGAAGTTCATGATTCAGTCCACCAGAGACTCCAACCCAGGAAAGAAAGAACACTAACAAATTCATGAAGCAGGATATGAAGTTAGAAGAACAAAATGAAACACATGAGATGACAAGCAGCTGAGATAAAGTGGTATATAATCATATTCATAGCTTCAGCTAAATCCTTGTACACTGAACCAATGTCATAATCAGGCTTATTTAGAAAATATTTTGAACTATGCTATAAAGGATTATATCAGAATTCATATTATGCATATGTGTTTACATCAGCGCTACCTGTGGTATGTTTATGTATTTATATGTGTGTTATAAATACTTGATTTATACATAGACAAGCACGCAAACATAGTGTGTTTGTGTGCTTATGTATAAATGTATAGGCACACAGTAATAGAGATAATTATAAGTAGGGTGCAGTATGAATAATTTGCTTAAAATCTGCTACATAACCAAAACTCTTTAACGTCGTGTTGCTGTGAGTGCTTCCATTCTCCATGTGGATAGGACTACACCACACTTCTCAACTCTGTGCAGTACTTCACGGGAGGAAAGCCTGGTTAAGACAATGTGCTTCCCAAAACAACTGACTCAAAGCCATCCCACCACACCGAGTCCTTTTTCTGGCTCCATGCAAAGAAAAAAGCGAACTGAGCTAGATTTCCTTCTGTAAAGGTCCAAGAAAGGAAAATGGATTTTTTCTCATCTTTTTTGCTCCTTTGTGTTAGCTCATCTTGTCCCACTATGACCCCTTTATTTCTTGTGTTCAGAGTTCAGACATTCCAGAGAGAGTGGAAATGTTGGGAGCCCAGTGCTTCAAAGGCCAATGGGGAGAAGTCCAAGACCCCACACTGAGGTGAGCAACTCTGAGGAATTCCCACATCCAGGTGGGAGCACAAGCAACAACAAGGCACAAGTCTGTCCTTGGCAAAGAACCATGAGGAAAGGAGCTCCTGGTCAGAAGTAGGCTATTTTTTTTACCCTTTCCTTTTGCAAAATGGACCTTCTATAATGCCAACAGCATTAAATTATGTGTCTAATTAGATAAATGACTGCATATACACACCCTCAGTTCTCTCTCTCTCTCTCTCTCTCTCTCTCTCTCTCTCTCTCTCTCTCTCTTTCTTCCCTTTCAATGGAGGACTTTTATCTCCAATGTTTGACCTTTGATTTGGCCTCCATCACTGTTTCAGAAAATTTCACGAGAGGGATGGCTGGTGATTTAACTCCTCAGATGGCTAAGTGAGCAGTTAAAGCAGTTTCTTTACAATGCGTCATTGTGGAATGCAGAGACTCCCAGGTTGTGATAGCAAATGCTATTCTAGAGAATTAGAGGTGGGTGGTATTTGTAGTTAAATATGACAGTACATGAAGGGTATTTTCTTGTTGTCAAGGCTGGAATGAATCACTGCTTCTCGAGTCAAAGGTTATTCAATATCTTTAGGTTCTGATGCTTCCCCTTTCTCTTATTTATTTATTTATTTATTTATTTATCTATCTATCTATCTATCTATTTATTTTGCTCCATTTATCACAAACACAAAGCAAAGCAAAAAATATATATATGTATATGTATATGTGTTGCAGGCAAAACACTGTGAATTTCACATCAACAACCAAGCAACTATTTTGCCATCTTACCATACGTCTCAGGAGACGAAATGGGAAAACATGGGATGTCATTTTTTTAGTCTATGCATTCTAGGCCAGGTCTGTGTTTGTTTTATTCCTTTGGTCTGTGCATTCATAAAAATGATCCTAAGTGAAGGTTGGCTGACTGTTGAACATACTGGAGCAAGCATAATAAAAGCTGCTAATAGTCATGGTTGAACTGGAAAAAGAAAATTGGAGAACATAAAATGAAATGTAACAGCCTACATCTTGCAGCTTGTATATCTTACTATTGCTTTAAAAATGTATAAAACTGCTGGAAATGTTTTAAATGCAAGGTCTTTGAATTAAATGGGGACTTTAAATATGTAATCTCTTGACAAATGACCAAATTATGGTAAAATATTGCTCCCTGCCTTCATTGATCATTACCTGTCAGTTACAAATCTGCCTAGAGATGTGGACACTCTCTGCATTTGCTTCTGTACATGGAGAGATGTTTGTATATATCCGGGCCATACACACACACACACACACACACACACACACACATACATACACACACATACACACACACATTTCAATATCTCTCTGAAGATATATTGCCCCTTAAATTGTGACCTGGTATTTGGAACTCTTTATTTGCTTTATTTTCTTTTTAATGTGACGTCTCTGTGCTAATTATTACTGGTTCCTGTTTTGCAATCTGTTTTGAGGTCCATTGCTTTACTAAGACCCACTGCATCTTGGCTGATTTCAAAGTGACACCAGAATATCAATGTTTAAAAATAAAAAGTTTTGTTTGTAAATCATGTGACCACCTTCTCTCAACCTGACATGGAAAGTCTCTTGTACTACAGTGTATTTAATAAAAATGATGTCTTAACAATAAATAACATCCTCCAAAAGAGAGACTAAAAATGACATGATTACTTTAAAAATGTATAGAATTTTCATAAGGCATGGTGTGCCCTTTTCCTGTCTGTCTGTCTGCCTATATTTTAGATATGATTACTGTAGATGCCTGCAGTGTTCATTAGTGGATGGTAAAGAGAGTAAGTAGTCTTCAGCACCAATTCCCTAAGCCCTCCCTAACCTGACACTTTCAACTTATATCTTAAATAACTGACCACATGTGTCCAGTTGGTATTTGAAATGTGGTCAGTGTCACTAAATAACTGAATTTTAAATTTTATTTGATTTCAATTTAAGTATCCGTATGTGGCTCATGGCTACCATGTTATACAGCACGGAGTGAGAAGATGGAATCATCATCATTTCTAAGAGCTCAGACCTGAGAAACCCACCAAGGGATTTAAAGTCAATTGCCGCGCAGACAATATAACCACCTCCCTATGGATGGCTATCACTGTTTTTCCTATGATAGATACGGATTTTTAGATACCAACCCCAGTGTATAAAATGCCACTTTATTCATTTTCTTTAAATCATGCTGTTTAAGTCTACATCCTTCATCGATAAAATCGATCTCAACAATTTATGGGTGTGCCTCTTTCTTAGAGTAACCGAAGAATCCCAAGTCTCACTGATACCCAGAAAATATGGGTTTCTGATTTACTGTTCAAGCCTTCTTTCCGGATTTGAGCTGAGGGTTCTCTTCACATGGTCTTATTTTTCTGGCAAGATAAATGTTAGAGCAGTTCTTCTCAGCTTTTCATGTGTGTCAGAATCACTTGGAGAGCTTTGAAAAATGTAGAAGCCAAAGCTGTAGCCTGAAAGAATTTGTTTCTATTAGTCTGAGGTGGGACAATGCATAGGCATTTGGGGGGAGGGGGGGAGGAGAAATTATCTAGGTATTTTTAATGCACAGCTGGGGTAGAGAAATATTGTTCTAGGGACCTTAAGTCTTGGCCCCAGAGTTTCAATCACCCAAATAGAATTACCTGGTTCTAGACCTAGGACTTGACTCAGCAGAGAATGGGCCAGACAGAGAAGGGCCTAGAACTTTAGTACAAGAATGAGAGATAGAGCACTAGATAGTTTTGAAGAGCAGATCATCAGTATCCAAGGAGTTCAAAAGTGAACTACATGTTCTCACAGAAAATGTTTCCTACAAAGAAAGCTCCATGGAAACCGATTATGGCCCAGTGGTTAAGGCAATCAATCAAGCAGTCCCCATCAAATTAAAAGGCTGGGACTTTAACTCCCCATTATGCCAGAGCAGCTGCAGATTCTCTAAGCATAAGTTCTGATAAGGATCATCCTGCTGCTAAATTGCTATAACATAGAGAGCAACCACAAAGCTTGGACCCAGCCTGTGACCATGAAAACTGAGCTGGCAGGATACACTGGAGTTAAAGTCCTGCCATGCTCTAGATCATTGAAGGGGAGGGGCCAGGACTTACTTAATCATGTAATGAAAAGCCCCCAAACCCCAAAGTCAGGATCCCTCTTGTCTAAATTCAGTCCTACCAGATTGCTATGCGCAATTCCAGAGAGTGATGGGCAACTGAACTAGGAACACACATACCAGTTACTGATTCTGTCACCATGAGTCTTACCCCAAATCACGATGTTCCAACAGGTCTGCTATATATACTAGCTAGCCATTTGCATGTGTTTGCATGACAATATTGAAATTTTTATTTATTAACTAGAAGCCCGGTGCATGGACTCATGCACCAGTGGGGTCCCTCGGCCTGGCCTGTGGGGATCGGATCAAAACTGCTTCCTGACATCCCCTGAGAGGTCCTGGAGTTCAAGAGGGAGGCTTTCGGATGATGCACCCTGGAATTGGGCTTCCTCCTCTCTGGTTCTGGGTGCATCACCAGTGAACCACAGCTGCCAAGTCAACCACAGCTCGGCAGTTCCTGCATTGAGCATCTGCCCCCTGGTAGTCATTGCGCATTATAGCTACTGGTTGGACGGTCGGACAGTCAGACAGTTGCTTAGGCTTTTATATATATAGAGAGAGAGATTGAGAGATTTTTGTTGGCCATTTCCTACAAATAGTATGTAAGTTTTATACAAGCATAGATTTTAGTGTCTTTGTTTCCTTAAGATAACTCCTGTCATGACACATAGGTGGTACTCAAACATTTTTGAATGAGTGAGTGAGTGAATGAAAGATGGATGGGTGTTAAGGAGCTTAAGAGGTCAAGAAATTAGGCAGGTAGTTATGGTATACTGATGCTTAGAAACCAGAGGTATAACCATAGACAAGTCATTTTAACTCTCCCAAGCCCTAGATTACTTATTTCTAAACTATCTAATACTAGAGGCCCGGTGCATAAAGATTCATGCACTGGAAGGGGGGGTCCCTCAGCCCGGCCTGCCCCCTCTTACAGTCTAGGAGCCCTCAAGGGCAGGAGGTGACCTAGTGATCAGGGAAAGGCGACGCCCCATCACACCTCTGCTGCTGCCATTGCTGACAGCATAAGCCTTGGCCAGCCCTGGTTAACTGAGCCTTGGGTGGCCCTGGGTGGCTGGGCAGCTGCCATCCAAAGCTTGCCTGCACCTCGGGCCGGCCCTGGGTGGCTGGGGGAATGAGGGGACAAGGAGACTCCAGAGGCAGGCGACCTGGTGGGACTGAGGGGACTGGGTGCCGCCATCTTGTGGCTGTGGGCACCACCATCTTTGAGGGTGGGGCAGTCAATTAGCATATTTCCTCCTTATTGACTGTGGGCACCACCATCTTTGCGACAGTGTGAGGGTCAATTAGCATATTCCCTCTTTATTAGATAGGATAGGCTTCTTCTCCAGGTTCAGCATAACTAATTCATGCCTTAAAACCATAAATTATTAGTATAAATGACTTCAAATATTCTCAAATGAAAGGAGAGTTGGTTTCCTTCCTGACTTAGTTTAGGAACCTCAGAAGAAATAAGGTTACCATGACTGAAAATAATAATGACTATGTTTTAATTTTCAAATGGACAACTGAGTTGCCATGGTGGTGAAAAGAATCCATATCTTCAGAAATATCAAGAGTCCCTTGGAGAGGACTTCCCTCTATGCTTGCTGGAAATTACACCAAATGAAAAAGTATAAAAATAAATCTGTAGTATCAGCATCTTTTGGGTGATGGTTATTTTGTTCAATTGGATCTAGCCAGGGAACTTTTCTATAGTGGACTTTCAGAAAGCACTTTCCAAAGTTATTAGTACCTTCTCAGTTCTAGGATAGAATGTTTTGGGGACAAATAGTGGCCTTCCTGGCTTTGGGGTAAAGGGGTGAATATGGATAGAACGGCTCTACCAGCTCTCTTTGCTCACCCACAGCATCACAGATTCACAGGGTTGATGGGGCCATAGAGGGCAGTCCTGTGCACATCCTTGTCAAGAGTCAAGCACTAGTGAGAGTGAATTTATTTGAACATCTCCCCGTGACCCCCAAGCCCCTAGTCCCAGTCCATTTGCCTTTTACAAAGCTTCTTTAGCAAGCACTTCCTGGTGCTGAACCAATGAATGCCTCTCATGGCTTAAATCTCCTGGTAGTGCACAGAAAAACTCCTTTTCATTATGACTTGGCATCCATTTATGAATTCCTTGTGGTCTTCCTCCCACATCCATCCCTCTACAGAAAACTCTGGCTGCTTGCCAAGTACCCAGGAGGAAGGGCAAGGAACCTAGTTCTGTCTGGTGAAGCTAGTGCCCAGTCCACAATTCCCTGGTTACTCTTTAGTTGCATCAGCCTACCTGTTCTTCAGGATGCTACTCATTCTTAGCACAGGAGAAAGTAACGTTTTTAAGGGATCAGGGAGATTAAAAGTGAGGTGTGTCTCCTCTTCTCCAGGAAAAATAATTTATCAGTGTTGTCAAGACAATTAAGAGAGCTTCCCACTACTCTCATATCTCAGGACCATCCAAAATCTCCTTGAGTGTTGTTAAAAACAAGGAAGAGGAGGGATTTGGGGCTTTCCACAGGATAGTAAGCTTTGCCATCTCTGATGAGAGAGAAAAAACAAGGTAAAAGGCATTGCTTATTTGTCTACTCAGCCAAGAGTGGGGGTGTCTGCTAACCTAAAGATAGCCTTAATTTTATTTGTTTTTCCTAAGGAACATCTGCTTGTACAATGATTAGGCACTGGCATTCATTAACACAGGAAGTAAAGTGTCTGAGGTTTGTGTCACTGGGAGTATTCGAGAACAAAATAAGACAGATACTTGTGGGAGTGATTTCAGAGCATTTTTCCCACTTTGCAAAGGTTCAGCCTAGGAGAATGTCTAATATTCACTGTGGTCACTGAGAGTTCTGTTAACTGTAGTAGTCAGGAGGTCATTCTCCCTGTGAACTGGGGGACAGGATGGACGATGGATGACATTGACCATGTGTCCATGGCATGTGAATGAAGGTCTAACGAGGGCCTAGTGGCAGCAGCATCTCAGATGTTTGCTGAATAAATGAATAAATTTCTCAGACACATAGTGCAAAGAATACAGAACATTCTGTGCACCCTTTCTGTATTCCAAAGTGCAGTTAAATTTATTATGGCATTTTTTTCTTCCTAACTTTCCTATGAGGACTAGAGCACAGGCTCCCCTTATCCCATTTTACAGATAAGGGTCTGAGTTAAGGAGAGAGTCAGAACTAGAAGACAAGTTTCCTAATTCTTAGAACACAATCATCTGGCCAGTGACTTTAAGGAAAACTCCCCAGATTCTTAGTTCTCATTTATAAGATCAGAATATAGTGCCAATATAGCTTTACTCCTCGCCTCCTTCCACCCTCCTTCCTTGGTTTAAAAAAAAAAAAGCAAAAGTGATGCTATTAAAATTTTGATTTTTTAACATGTTAAGTATTACATGAAAAGTGTGATAAAGAGGTAAATAATAAAATTTAAAAGTCA